ATTATTCTGTTTCTGAAGAGCGGTACTGAAGGTTTTCTGCTGCTGTGCCTGTTTTAAAAGTAGCACCAATAAAGAGCAATGTCATGCAAATTTCATCACTGATGAACATATGCTATGACATGAAAAGCAGGTGGCAACATCGTACACAACCAGAACATTATTATCTGCTGAACACACATCACTATAACTGCAGGACGCACATTCTCTGCCAACACTGATGATTTTGTCCTTAGTCAATTTGGGATGACAAATTGGTTCAACATTTAACTTCTTCATAATTTGTCCCTCATTCTCAGAATGTAATTTTAAAGGCAGAAATAATTAAAAAGTCATCTCTAATTTTCTTGATCATATACTCAAACACAGAATCAATATTTAAATGAACTACAACTATCACAGTTTCCAGCTGTTTATCTTTCTTTGTCTTCAGCGAAACCTTTGTAAGCAGTCAGCTGCAGAAGTCAAATGCACTATATCAATTTTATTATTGAAAGAAAAGCCAAAAGTTGCAGAGAATAATGTTGTGATTAGATTTCACTTACAACCATCATTACTACATTTTTTACAAGAATTTTGTTTTTGAAAGACAAAATGGAATTCCAAGAACCTGAGATTAGAGAACAGTAAACCAACCTGAACCCTGCCCAACAAAATGGCAAATCCACCATACTTCCAAATAAACTTTAAAAATGCTGGTTGTATGTTTAAAAGCTTGCCCAGCACCAGTGCTTGTTGAAGTGGCAGATTATTTTGCGATGGAATAGGTAAAGCCTTCACCTCTGTCCCAATCTCATGCTGGCTCTCAATTCATTCCTCTCCCCTTGCCCTCTTCAGGCCCTTGCCCTGTCCTCCCAGGATTAGGAGTACTTCAGAAAGAACTAGGCAGTTATCTCAACACTTCTTTTATTCTTATTCATCCTTGCAGGCTGGCCAGATGGGCATTTCTTTGTTCTGCTAAAGTCCTTACTTTCCATCCTGCTGTTAAGTTACAGACTGTCTAGGGGTTAGCTACTCAAAGGATTTCATAATTTTTTGAAACTGCAGATATACAGCATTTCTCCCTCCATTCTCAGGAATAAAACTGCTTCTGGTCTAAGACACAAATACAAATTCAGAAGGTGAGTCTGAGTGCTACCAAGGAGTCTCACCGCTGCTTCCTCGATTAGCCAGAGACTGCTAGAATTAACAACTTCATGTCAAGAAGAAGAAACTACTCAAGATGTTAGCAAGCACTTCACAGCTCTCTAGCTTTATTCAGAGGTCTAGGTGATGACTACAGCCCTTAGACAATTTGGGCTAACCTGAGACTATCAATGACACACTGATGACAGTGTAGCCATACAGGCACACAACCCAAAGTAAATTAACTCTCCAAATGGGTTTTACAGCCCAAAATGACCTCCATGCTACTGTAGCTACACCATTAGCAGTACTCAATCTAGTAACATAAACATTGCCTAAATTATGTTAGTTAACCATATTTTAGGAAGCATCTATTTTCCAGCTTTAGGCTGATTTTCAGCAGATAATAGGATAGAAGTCATACTGTGAGGTAGGCTTACCTGCTTCATTGCAGTCTCCCCAATCTTGTCAGAATGCTTTCGAATACTCTCCAAGAAATCCTTGAGATCTGACATGGAAATTTCTTTTATTTCTTCACGCAGTTTTGGAAGATTTTCTATCATTATCTGGCAAAACCGGTACTGGCTAACTCTAGGAAGATACAGATTTTCTAGCTGTTCCATTGTTTTTAAAGCAGAATAATACCTGCAAAGAAAAGAAAATCAAATTATGTAGCTACCTTATCAAACCTTTATAAAAGCATTTTATTAAATATGTCAATTTCATACCTGCAATCAATATACATGTAATTAAATCAATCCATTCTCACAAGAGAGTCATGTGAAAAAAAAAAGGCACCTATTACAGTGTTTTAGTCTGGAAAAAACAGTGAGCTGTCAGAGTACCTCAGTCAAGTCAAAATTTTAAGTAAGCTTTAAGTAGTTGCTGTTCTATTCAACATAGCCCTAACGCCACATGCCGCAGCCTGCGGACCAGGGGCACTACAGTCATAACAATTATTTTCCCTCCTAGTTTAAATTACTGTACTGGCAAGACCTTTCTTCTCTCTCTCTTTTTTTTTTTGTTTTTTAAATTGAGCCTCCTATTCTGAAACACACGGATTGCCAAACACCCAGCTTTGCAGTACCTGCACCACACACTGACAAAAATCTTGGGAGAGTGTGCCTGTATACATACGTCCTCTTTATGTATATGTGAACATATGCACACACACCCCTTCTTTCCCCCATCCCTAGCTAGAAGATGCATACACATTTATCTCTAGCAGTATTTTTTCCAGCAGTATATCATGTTTTGCTGTAAGCCATGAATCTATTCATTGTTCTGACAAAGTACGGGATATCCCATCAAGAAAATGACTAAGAAAGCTTTAAGGTCAATGGGTTTTTTGTTTGTTTCTTCGTTTGTTTTAAAGCCTAGGATTCTGCAGTTTTCACGGCTTTTCGGTGTTCCGTTAGGCCTACAGATTATTTGTAGCAGAAATACAGAAGATACTGTCTGAAAGTGGAAAAAAAGAGAAACACCAAGAGATATTTCCTCTTATGTCTATAAATTCATTTATAGACATACATTGTATGATACACTGTAGTGTATAAACATCGCATATGTATGTTGCATAATACATTAACAGCCAAGTATGTTGCACAATTTTACATAAAGGAGTAAAACTCCTTTTTTTCCTCATTTTTACAAAAAATGAGTTTAAAGACATACTCTAGTTAATTTTAAGTGTAAAATGGGATTTAATTCAAATATCAGTTAACTCTGAGTGCTTAAATAATCAGCAAGAGAAACTAAGTGCCTTCAGGGGACAGAGTGTACTACAAGTATAGCAGGCTATGCACAAAATGTGATAAGTACATTTTTTGCTAATCTTTTCTTCGCAATAAGGTTCAGATCTTCCTATCTTGAGCTTACTTTCAAGGAAGAATTCCCCTGAATATGTGAACAGGGCTTCAAAATGACTTCAAGCATTATGGTCAGGTACAGCAAGAGAATCTATGTTTAGGTAGGGTCTACAGCCAGAGGCAAAAACTGGTCAGACAGAAATAAGAATTTGTTATTACACAGTCATCACGGGGAACGGTGACCACAATAACCGCTTAGGGGCCAACATTTTAGTAAGATTTCCTACACACCTCCTTTTTCATAATAATATAATGCTTAGCAATCACACCAGGTCAGATTACCTCCCTAAAAGCCCTTCCTTTTTCATTCAAAGAGGAAAAAACGGTGTATTTGATCACTGTCAATTCATGCAAGCGGACTTGTGCCTTTAAAATACTAGTTAGGCTCCTACATGCCTATTCCTGAAGTCTATTCATTTTCAAACCTCACATAGGCTCCTAAGTTCTGGATGCTTCTGCAAATTTTTACTTTATTGAAAAAAGGAAGCAAAATAAAAGTGAGGCAATTCTGCTATAGACAGCAAAACTAAGAAGGCAATAAACAGAAACATCATGACTGCTAAAACTGCAAAGTCGTCAACATTTTAAGAGAGGTGCATGAAACAGGTTAAACAGGAAGAGGACAGCAATTACTTGCAGATGTGACAATAACCCACCTTCAAGCAACATTCTTACCAGCCATTCAGCCCAGGAGGAGGCTTTGAAAAATATATTTATTTTGGCACGTTATAATATAAGAATAAGGTGAACGGAGGCCTTCTAGGTTGCTCTTGAATGAGAAAAGGAGAAAGGCTGAGATCTGACTGAGTTACCTTGCTGTGTAATTCCAACCCTTTCTTGGCACAAATGCAGAGTAATACCCTTAGCCTATTCTTAGCTCTTTGCGTTATAACTTTAGCTCCTTTTTCTTCCTGACAGTCCTACGCAATCAATAAAGGGAAATGGCTAAATCGCTGTGAAAGGAGAAAGCTGAATATGTGCAAAGTCTCTTCAAAATGTTAAAGAAACCTGGAAAACTGTCCTTGTCAGTTACAGTGCTTCTGAACATTACTTTGTAGACACAGCAAGTAAAATACTTTCCAACAGAAATACAATTCAAGTTGATGGCTCTTCTTCTGCAGGTAGACAAGCAATAGTAAGTTATTAATACTTCATTTGTAACCTCTCCTTTCATTCCAAAATAAACACATTTTTTGAATTTTCTCAATCAAGGCATTTCTAGGCTAACAATTCAGCATAGTCAGAGGATGGGGAAAAATCTTCTCTTCTCTTCCAAAACACATCTCCTTTCAGGAGACTGCAAATAATGAGGTTTCAAGTGTAAATCAGGAGCTTTTGTTTATTATATACTTGGTTTATATAAAATATACATAAGGCAACGGGAACGTTCCAGATTAGAAGGTGTTTGGGGGTTTTATGTGTGGAGGTTTTGCTTTTTTAAACAACAAATGACCAAGAGTGCCACATGGTGAGACTTCTGGGGAATAAAACCATAATAGCACCAAAATCGTATAAAAGGTTTTTATTTAAATTATACAGATCAGCTTATCAGAGCACTGTTAGTTCATCTGGAAGGTTTTTGACTGCTGCCTCTAAGATCCGAATTAACATAATCCATTTTAAATCCATTCTAGAGCCCCTTACTAATTATATATATATGGAGCTGAGGACCTTGCCCTTTTAACATCTGCTCTGATAAAGCATTGAAGTCATCTTAATTTGAAGGTCACTTGCAAGTTAGGATTAAACTAAGAAGTTTTGCATATCATTTCATAGCATGATGTATTTTTTGCTTAAAAAGCATTACATAGATTTAACTTGATGTTTAAGATCTTATTTGACAATGATGTTACTAGTTTGTCTCCATATATTATCAATCACATGAGCCAATGATTGCCCATTTAAATTAAAGAAGCATCTTCAACACTATTTTGGTCATATAAATACAGCAGTTCTCTGTTTATTCTTCTGAACTAATTTTGTAAGAATATGTTTACCAACACAAATTTTATCAATTTAAATATTGAAGATGCAGATTTGAAACCCTAATGCAAGTTCATACGGTCAGGCTGTACAAAACTGAATCATCTTGCCCTCAGGACCAGAAAACTGTAAGCTGGACTGACCTAACCTTTACTAACACCTCCAAACTATGAGAAATAAAACACCCAAAAACTGCAAAAAGCAGAACTGGAGGAAAAACAGAACATTAATATTATTGTTTTGCATCATCTTATTTTAAAATTGAGCTGCCATTTTACAAAGTGTCCAAGTCCCGAGTCTGTATTAGAATTTAAAATTTTAGGACAGCAATCATTACTTTGAATTTTTGCTAGCGTACATAAAGCAGTAGGTTCTGTTTTAAATGACAGAGAGGTGTTTTAAGATTTTTTATCAGTGGAATGTCATTTGGAAATAAATAAGAGAAATACTGCAACTTATTGGAAAAAAACTTAAGTTAAAATAGCTAAAACAGTCAAGCAGCTCCATGGGATAGGAGCGAGATGGACTCAAAGGCTGGGGGTTTTACTGAGGTCTAAGTGCTTGTATGCAAGTCTTTTGAAGTAGATAAGCGCAGTCATGTCCCAAAATTTCCTACTGAAAAATCAAGAAGAGAGACAATAATCTTAAAAATCTAATTTTAATTTAAGGAGATAAACTCAACAATTTACAAAGAAAAAAACAACGTTCCTCTGACTTTTGTGCTTCCTTCAGAGAAAATGCTATACATTCCTGCTTATTCTATTTCCTATATTTATTCAATACGTTTCTGTACTCTACCAAACCAAGGAAAAGTTAAAGGTGTCCACTGGAATTTTAAAATGATACAGAGGAGGAGTGACTCTTCGTCTCTTCAAAATGACATATTGAAATTGCAATTGAAAATATACCACCCTTCACCACAGGAACAACTACTGTTCGTAGTAGTACTGCTTCTGTTTTAGTTGACTTAACAATTCTATATTCTGATTTTTAAATTTTCCCAGGATACCAATGTTACCAGTTGCCCAAAGGACCACCACTGAGAACGTCAAGGAACTAGTAACTCTGAATCCTCTGTGGAGTATAAAGCTCAGCGTTTCCCAGAGTCAAATGAAAGATATGATCCGCTAAAAAATCAGCATCTATAGAACACCTTTTTTATGCATAATGATGCATTTCAAGTTTTGTTTTGTTTTGTTTTTTTAAAGAAGCTATCAAAGAGGTTTGTGAGGACGGTGAGAAAGAGAGCAGCTGACACCACAATATCAAACATATATTTTGAATATTTTTTTTAAGCGAGAACCATGATACCATTAGGAAGTACTTATTTGCAGTTGGTAATACCCAGTGCTTCATTTTGACATGGCGCTTCATTTTGACATGGTTGCTATGTGCTAGTTAGCACAAAGCATTTACAATGAAGCATATCTGTCTTAAATGAATTCCTTTGTACACGCAAACTTTCCAAAGAAAATTGCTTACCAAATCTAGTAACTTGAAGAAAAAGTGATTAACCCTTCCTCCCCTCCATACACAAATAAAATCATACAGAAACCCTGCTGAAATCAGAAAAATATCAAAAGCACCCGAAAGCACCTTCAGATAATACAATAACTCAGTATGACTCAGCATGAGCAAAAATGTAACCTGAAACATCAAATAAAGGTGGCTAAAAGAACCTTTATACAATAAGGCTGTAAAACAAATAAATACTGACTTATTTCTTGGAATAGAGAGCTCACATGAAAGAAACCCCCACACATGAAAACCCTGAAGAGGTTATAATAATAGATCCTAGATTTATTAAATCTTTTTTTATTACTTCTGCACCTATCATTTCTTTCTATGTATGGAGATTCATCTATACACTTTATGGAAACCTTTCAGGGTAGTGTAAATCTTTTCAAGACACAAGTGAGAAGTGTAAGTAACATTACTAGTTCGAACAACAGAAGCTATAATTAGATTAGAGGATGCAATATTTGAAGCATAGATTGAAAACACTTAAAACATCTTAATGTCTGTGTCCTGCAGGACACACTACAGGCAAAAGAAGCATGCAATTTTACTAATTCTGGGGAACAAAAAAATCTCTGTCTGTCTCTCCCTTCTGCCCAATTCTTCCTTGGTTCTTTTCCTGGGTCACAGAAACCCAGCAGAGTAGTAAAGCGGAAAAAGCTGCAAACCAGGTTTCTCCCAACATCACTACAGTGACTCAGGAAGTGACAAAAACATGAAGTTGAGGCTTTTGTCATTTTAGCACAGGACTCTGAAATAAAGATTCAGTGAAGCACTGAGCTGCTGCAAACATCCTTCAATTAGTCAAAAACCAGATTTTTCCTACTAAAATCATTACATAACACACAAAGCCAAACCCAAAACATCATTTTAATCTGTCCTGATATCTCTCAGCACAGACTTGAGTGGGACCAAATTCTATAAAGAATAAAGTTTTCATAACCTATCCTTCATGTCTTAAAGTTCAGTTTATTTAAAAGTTTGGGAGGTTTATGCAGAGAAAGGCTGATCCTCAGTGCGAGCTAGTAACCTAAACAACTGATCAGCTGGGTCTTTCCCACAGTTCTGAAGAAAGCTTATAGCAAGGTTGGAAGAACAACCCAAGTCTTTCAGGGCAAAAGGCTCAGTCTGCAAGACCATACTCTTTCTTTAGTCCTCCTCACAGTAGTTCAAGAAGATTCAGCAACAGCCTTAGTAGAATTATTTAATGGTACCTTCACTATAGGTTGGGGTATTGTGGTAATATCTTTTGTGCAATAAGAGTTGCAAATACGCTACGATTGTTCACCTGGTAAGATTGTTCACTTACTATCTTCTGAAGCAGCCAGGAACTTTCTCTAGAGATACATATCAATACCTATATACACAGGCCATGGCAATAGGTCTGTATACAGCATGTGATGACCTTATCTCTGACTTACAGCTAAAGATGGGAGAAGTTCAGTCTAAATTTATAACCCTCCTCTAGGCATTTTAGAGAGAAGTAGAGAAACCACACCCTCTCCCTTGCGCTCCCAACCAAGGCTTAAAACCCTCCATAACACTTTCCAGCCACCTTTGTCTGTTTAGAGCAGATTCCTCAATTATTTCTCCTCACCACTACAGTTCTTGTCAACTTGTGTTATACATGGCTCAGAAGATAGATAAATAGGATGCAGAGCCTTTCACCTCTAGGTCAGCAGTTCAAATATAGCCGATTTTGGCAGTGACCTAAAGTTGCTATCAGCAGATGGCTTTTTGCACTCCTCTGCAGAACTTCATTCTGTCTGTATAAAACAGTATGCATCCTATACCTGAAAACTTGCATGATCTTAAAAGGTGACTGCCACGGAGAAAAGGAAATAGAATTCCAATATTTATCCTAAAATAACTGATCCAAAAAGTGTAAAACATCTGCCCTTTCTTCTCCCCTTTCTTTAAACATTAGAAATTCTAGTTTAATTCGTTCTGCAAGATTCTATGACAAATCGAGCAATAATGAAATTATATTATAAAAGGCTGCAGACAGAGAAACTCAACAGAAGAGAGATCTCTTTCTTAAGACCAATACAAGCTTTGCTGCATTAAGAGTGCTCAGTGAAAATTTATGAGAAAAGTTATCTTGGCCAAAAATAAACCCTCCTCATCATTTTGTTAAAACAGGCATTGTGAATCTTCCAAGAAAGATTCATAGCAAAAATTGGGAAGGCCAGTTTTGAAATGTCTTATGGCTACACGTATCAGCTACCAGGTCTTTTTAGCACTGATTGCTATGCAAGTCCTTGCCACTACGGAAAATCAAATAGTGATGAAGGCCAGGATACGGTCACTCTTTGGATTTGTTGCCTGTTAAGCCACAAGGAAATTACCATTTGCATTAATTGCAAGTTCCACAGGATACCCACCTCTAGGCTCTATTAGAGGGAATTGTAAGTCACAGGCAAAGTAGAAACCATAGCACAGTTAATGAAAGAGATATTTGAGCTGCAGCAGTAGCCTGGAGCAGAGTCTGAACATTGTGTGCTCCACATGCTTTCAAAGTACGGTACATCAAAGCTATGGCAGCTCCCCTCTGCCTTAGATCTTGTTAGGGGATGACAATGACATGTCCAAACCCTTCAATTCAGTGCATCTCCATGTGACTTAGAAAACTTAACATTTCCTGTCTGGCAACTCCTTCCACAGGAAAATTATCAGATCTGAAACCCTTAAATAATGGAAATTGAGTTTTAGATTTGAAGAACACTGATGACTTCTTAGAAAGCCCATCAGCAATCATTAGACTTGAACTACAAAACTATTAGCGAACGTGGAGTCAAAACACTAAAAGCTATCTACCATTTTATCTCACCTAAGCGATCTATCCTGGTGACATTAGGGAATAGAACTTTCTAACAACGCTAAAACTAGGATATTACTTCTCTTGGCTGCCAGAGCAATGGAATGACAGAATGTAGTCCTTGATCCCAGTGTTTCAACTTTTTCAATTGGCAGAAGTAGACCACCTTGCACAAGCAAGCAGGAAGTGGTGCCAGTTCAGACAGCACATACTGCAGTATTTTCTCTGTCTACAGTAGCTAGGATATTTGACCGTTTAATTCATTCTGCTGAGCTGCTCAAAGAGCACTGCAACAACATGCTGCCAGCTACTTTAACTGGATATCAAACCAGCGTGCAGTTCACAGAAAAGGGTGTACACTTGGGAAGCTGATGAGATTTACAGCACTGGTTCCCATCTAGCAGGTTTTGATTGTAATATGAGACAGCATGGTGCCACAGCTATTACATTTTTCCTAAAGCTCTTGTATTTCTGCAGAAGACTTCCCAGACAGCATATGTGCACAGGCACCATACAGCAGTCATACATTGATTCTGATGCCCAAGGTGCATCAGACTTGCTGTGATACTGATCTGATATGTACAGCGAATCTGGCTCCCTTTGGACACATCTGCACACATGCTGTAGAGTTGGTTTGCTCATACACAGTGGCGGTTGTTTAGGACTTCTGGATGTCCAAGCAGCACGGCAAGAGGTGCTGACAATCCAGACAAACAAGCAAAAAGGAAATCTAGATTACACAATAGCCCTGTATACACCTGACTATACATGGCTAGTTCTGAACAGAGGCAGTCGGGTCCAGACAGACTTGCTCGCAGAGCTGCTAGTAGCTGTGCCAGGCACATGGAAAGATAATGGCAAAAATGAGGAATCCAGCAGGGGAAGAGACGGAGCAATCCACAGGACTGTGGCAGCAGTAAGAGCAGCCAGGGATGAAGGTGGCAATGATCCTGTAGAAAGCAGGAAGAAGAAAGCAGCAGCAGCAGCACTACTCCTGGGATGGGAATGCCTGAGGAGCAAGGCAGCAGGGTCAGCGGCAGCGGGACCAGACGGCAGCTACGGCGGGGTGAGGCAGCCACCGTGGAGAGAGAACCAGTGACAGTAGGGTTATAGCAGCAATGAGTAGCTCTCAGGTGATGGACAGCAAAAAGGCAACAGGAAGAAGCAAGTGGTGAGAAGTGCCAGTTAGAAACCACTATTAGAGAGGTTTACTTTTAATTATTGTTATTACTTCTTATAACTCAATTTGTCACACAGGAGGAAAAAAAAAGAAAATATTTTCTGCATTTCATACTCACAGTGCCATGTACAAAAAAGATTAGCATAGAGATTGCAGATAGGCCTAAAGAATACACAGGAGAAAGGTCCTTTTTCATGGGATTATAAATGTGATTTAAACATATTATAATAGATTATGCAGGTATTAATGACTTCTGCAAAGATCATCGTTTTCTACTTCAGCTGAACTCCCCAGAGATCTTACTATTCTTGCTGTTTAAACTGTTCAAGTATTAAAAATAACATATTATAGTTCACATTTTATAATCATGTTTTCATTGCTTATTTAAGTAAAAATTATTTTTCATGGCATTCATTAGGCGGATAACATTCTGTATATGCAATATAACATTTGTTTTCTTGCAATGATAGCCTTGAAACAAAGACAAGGAACTATTAAAAAAGGCTGTAAGTACTAAACTATAGAATTCAAATGTGCATGTCTACATTAATGTTTGCTATCCTATCAGCAATTATAAAATATAATGACTGTATTAATTATTTGCAAAAATTCTATTTTCTGATAGAAATAAAGTAACTCACCTTTTTACATTCATTTGTTCTTTTAGTTTGCTGTACATTTCTAGCACTGCATAAAAACAAACAGATTAACCCATGAATCTTATTGTGGCTTTGGTTAATGAAAGAGAAAGATACATGCTGTAAAGCACAAAATAAATCACAGAAAAAGATATACTAAGTTTACCTTATTCAATTCTTACTACAACATAAAAAACATTTAAAAAAGAAAAAAAAATTCTAGAATGCCGTTAAGGCAAAGAAAAAATGAACTCTTAACAGCTTTTAAATGGAGAAAAAAAAGATTGCGCACAATAGACACCATATAAGACAAACTATATATCAACCATATTCATTCATTTACTGCATACCATAACTATTCATACTACCTAACTCCAGTAAAAGGCAACAGTACCATCTACTGTAACCATAACAAGTCAACACAAGACTTACAAATAAAAAGTTTCAAACCTGTTTTATGCTAGTATCACAAACAGGATAAAATCATTATAGAGTTGTGTGCAATCCTACAATACTATCTTTCTGAAACATCATTTATAGCTCTTACGCTTTATAAAAGTACTACTGCAGTGATACAAAGCTAAAAGACAATACAATGTTGAAGCAGTATCATTAATATTGTCCATATAATTCAAACATTACAGAAAATTCTTAAGCAACGACTTTGTGATCCATCATATTAAAAGTAAGACTGCATTTAAAGCTGTATGTATCTACAGTTTTGCATCATTTGTACCCATTCCATTGTTTTCTCACAAAGTAGCATAATTAACCTATTTCAAATGCTATAGGGTCACGGAATCCGCATGTGGACATCTTTTTAACATTCAGTAATTCCTTTGCTAAACAGGATGTTACAGGACCATAATAAACATTTATAAACAAAACTCCTTTGCATTTGGGCTATTGTTTCTTGGGTTTTGTTTTTGTTTTTTTTTAAACTTGCCATCATATTTAGCTCTATGTCACTCACCTGGAAGACACAACTGTAGTTTTTCCACGACTGTTGTAATATTCCGCTGCTGAACTCTGCATCGGATGATTTCCTCTGTTTGGGCTATCACCTTAGAGATTTTTTTTTAATAGAAAATTACAATTAAGTTATGCAAACAAATTTAATTTGCTACAAATGTTCATAATGCCCATATAGGAAGCACCATTTTCTCACCTCTTTCCCAGCATCCTGAAGCCTTCGGTTGGTATCAGTAACTTGGACCTTAAAAATAATTTCACCTTTGTTAGACAAATATGCATATATTGCCCTGATGCGACTGCTCACCCTTGTAATCAGATCATGCTTCATGAGAAACTTAGAACAAAGAAATGCAAATTCAAATTAACTCTACAGCTTGAACTTGAACTTTTGATCGCAAAGGGCTTTTGTTAACTTCAATTACTTATGACAGTTCTTTCTAACAGATTCTGTGGCAAACTTCTCAAATTTACTTGGGATTTTTGAACTTTCCTTGTTTCTGTAGGTCTGTCAAACAATTCAAATCATTGACCCAATTGACCACTGGTCCCTTTTTGATAACCTCAATGAGCTCTATGGGCCATTCATTGTCTGTAAGAAATGGTGATTGCATTTTATGGTAATTAAACATTCATACTTTGCTGAATGCAAACACTGGGTGGTTGATTAACATCAAACGTGGAAATCTCCAAACCACAGCAACATTTTAATGCTGCAGGTGCAGGCGAAGCTCGACCTCAGATTTTCCCACATAGTAAGTGACTCATTAGGTCATCATAATAAGGAAGCACATTCTAGTTTATTAAAAATCTCATTAATTTCTGAACAAAGATGCTCAATGACCTCATTGACGCTGTATTTGGTCTCTTGTTATCTGAATATCCTTTATATAATGCTCTTCTAATCATAACCTCTGATGAACTATGCTCATTCTGTCTGGTGTGCATATTTTGCTCTCAAAAGTGTAAAGAGAGCTAAAAGGGACGGATCTCATAATTCACCATTCTGCATTTTGATTTGTGAGTAAATCTTAGTTCTCATTTCTAAAGAAAACTACTAACTCCACCTACTCTCCTACTCATTTACAGTGTAAAGAAAACTTATTTTTAATGCATAATTGCAGTATTTTTTTCTTAATCAAGATCTGAAATTTTCTGAAGTCTGGTGTATATATATGCACGGCTTAGAAAAAGAAGACCTAACGTAAGAAAAACTGGTTTTGCAAATACCTTCCTATTTGTTATTCGTTACCTTCTGAGAAAGCCTTTAAAAAGGGCAAAATAGTTTTGGTAACATTTTCTGAAAACATACATGAAAAAAATAAATCAGAATTAGACCTAATAAATATTCAATTTTGCCAATATACTACTGGATCAGACAACACAGCCCTAATCATAAATTCTAAATAACCTGCTTCCAAAATTTGTTGCAAAAATCGCAGCATATATGATAATCATGAAAAATCTTATTCTTCAGTAAAAAAAAGAACAAGTTACTGCTTTTGAATTCAAAGACAATGATATATGAAACTCTGAAAAAACTAATTCCTTACCTTCAATTTTTCTGCATCAGCCCTAACTTTAAGAAGTTCTGTAATAGCATCCACAAAGCCCTGGTGGTGAAAATTGCACATCTTTTCTATCTCCCTGTCATGGTTACGTATGCAGGCATCTAGTTTTTCCATAAACCTCTGGTGTGCATTTGGTTGGTCATCGTATACAGACCTGTTAAATACAAGGAAGAAAACTAAAGTTGACTTTTTTCACCAGTTCAATATAGTAGGCAAGAATCTTTATTGAAATCTCCCTTAAAAGGGGAGGGGGGGAGGGAAAAAAAAAAGCTTGCAAACTTGATGTCATAGTGGCTCATTTGCGATTCACTCCTCTAAAATCAGCATTAAAGAAAGAGATAGTCCAAAACTGAGGACTGAACCCAGCCCTTATGGCATTAATCCAGGTGCTTAACCAGTTACATCATGGTTGACCTGAGCCTCACTGGTCTGTTATTTATGCCCTAATGCTCAAATATGGGTACAACAGAATCAGTTCCTCTGACCACCTCAAATAGCATGGATCACTTTTCCATCAAATTCCACTGTCTGTTAAATATAAAGAAGTGCAAACATACAAATTTGCTTTCCTAATATTCCTGAATATCAGAGTTATTCCGCTAAATCAGTGTCGGATGCTCCCAGTCAAATCCATCCGAGAAACGCGCGGTGGCAGCCGGACCCCTAGCGAGCGCATCCCATTGCTAATGTGATTTACCCCCCCCCCCCACCGCGCTCCTCTCCCTCCTCCCGCACACAGAACGTACCTAGCTCGCGTACGCCCAAAGCCGCTACCTAAACGTGGTTCAGCTCCCAGGAACGGCTAGAAATCTGTTGCTTTTCTTTTACTTTAGCTGGGGGTGGGGGTGGGGGGGAAATCATGTCTTCTCTGAAACTTAGGAATCAAAATATAGCTTGAGGTGCTTAATTTGTACAATTTTACCAAATTTTGGTCTGCCCCTTTGCAAGGTGAACGGATTGTACTGGTCTCCATCTTTGAACAGCTTATAACATGGCAACTATCACGCAAGCGAAGTCTGAAGAACAACGACAACAAAAAAAGCACATTTGTTATAAGTGTTGCTAGGTCTTTTTGTTTTAATTAGTTGGAAACATGGAAGACTTTTTTTCTAGCAGGTATAGTTTATTGGTTTGTTTTACTAATTGTCTGAATACTGAATTTATAAACGTCAAAGTAGGAAACATGACTCAAGGAGAAACTAAGAGCGTAGCTTGTTGAGCTGTGTCAGAAATAGAAGCCGCACGGGAAAAGGCTGAGGCGTGAGAACAGCAAAGGAGACAAGGGGCGATTTAAAGCTTTAAACCTTAGCAGTGGAAGCAAGAAAAGAGGTATTACGGAGAACTGTACGGGCAATCAAAGGTACGAGGTCTCCCAAGAAAGGTAAGGAAAAGGTAGTCCAAAAATGTGAAGGAGAACTTGACAGAGCAACCCCAGAAGAAAAAAAGAGGGAGATCATTTCTGAAGTAACTTTACAGTTAGAAAGAAAGAGGCAACAGGAGAGTGAAAGAGGTCAGAGAAAACACGTTAGTATTGCCAAATACAGACATTCAAAAAGACCAGGAGATTGAACATCTTGAAGTTTTAAAAAAATCACAAATATTAAAACAAGAAAGTATTCATTCTTCTTTTTCCCTCAGCCTCTTATTTCCCTTCATAATTGTAAATTTTTCTTCATAATCTGTAAGAATAAGCTGCTTTTTTTTTTTTTAAAGGAAAAAAAAGCCTCTTAAGATAAGGGAAAGAAAGGCTGAAGTTCCCCAATAATTATCTTTTCTGGGCTTTAAGGGAAAATATCAAATGACTGAAAGTTTAACTGAACTGAATAGAACCAAGTCTCAAAACTAGGTTTTGAAAGGGTTTATTCATAAAATCAAAAAAATACTTTTCACCTTCTGATACCTCCAGGGGGAAAAACGTGGTAGAAAGGAGAAACGTGCAGGCTGTTTCATTTTCCCCAGAAGCCTCAATTTTCATTTACTCATATGAAATTACCTTTTTTCTAATGTAATTAATAACAAAATGCAAAACTGAGCTAGTAGAAAACTTCTAAAATTAGTAGTGCTATAGTGCTTGATAGCATGTAAAACGATTCCTTATGCTTATTTCTCAGATTATGCTTGCTTCTGTCATATTTTTTCTGTTTTATTAAAAGAGCCTTTAGGACAGGCAATTCCTTAGAATAGTCTTCCTCTTTATATCATACATTTTTGTTCTATAAGATATTTTATTTCTGGCCTTTAAAAAAAAAAAAACAAACTCTGTATGGAATGAATGCAACTATGAATAAACACGACTGTGGATAACCATGAGACATTAAACCTAGCCCTGCAGTTGACAGCAGCGATGTCCAAATACTTACTCTTTAGAAGCGGGTGGATGGCAACACACTTCCCAGTACTTATACTAATTAGTGCCCTACAGTGTTGAAGTGTTTATATACACTTCTATAGTATACACTTTCATAGTATGCAAGTTGAAGTGTAACTAAAAGCACGGCAAACAAATATTGTTATAGCACCTAAGAACTTAAGGCTAGGCCTGTGCAATTCTAAGCACCCTGCACGGGCTGTGCAGGCTCTGAAGAATTTGGTTCCTTCAGAACGACCTCTTCCTCCCGCTCATTCTTTGGCGAAGAGATTCAGCATTTCTCCCTTTTGTAGCTATGCACGACTGCATAAAATGAAACCTGAGAACACAGGAGATGAAGGGGAGATTTAAGTGTGAATTTGTATTTTCTTAAAACAGACTTCAATTACCCGTCTCCAAAGCGCACAGGGCAACGCGTTCCCCTAACAAAACGTAAAGGCGGCGTCACTGCTGCTTGCACTCAGTGCTACAGTCGTAAGTGCGAGAACGAGGCAGCAGAGAGGCATTGCCTCTCCAAACCTTGAGTCGAGGGAAAGTACTTCCCTCTCCCTCTTCTCAGACAAGTTTGACTTCCCATATTCTTCTGGATGCTGTTTTCGAACCAGATAGACCTGGGCTCTGCTAGGATCCAGGTTTATAGTTCAATATGCCTCTAGCTGAGTGTCTGACAAGAACTTGTCCCTTCGAGGAGGAGAAGGGGAAAGAAGAGACTGGAGACTCCCGTGACTGGAGTTCCTGTTAACCTAGGCTGGCAAGGCCATAGAGTGAGAGAAGCAACTGAAGTTAGAAAAATAAAAAAGGTAATAAGCTGCCCTGCACAGGGAAGGAAGAAAGCCAGTTCCTGATAGCTTGCCTGCTATAGATATTTTCTCAAAGAAAATCTCTTCAATAAAACGTTCCTGGCGGCTGATTCCTGGCCCCTGAAAGCCGAGGAACATCTCCCTTCTGATTAGGATTGGAAAAGGTGGCTAACGAGCTGAGAGACAGGCTCTTTCCTCCTAAGTGCACCAGGAGAATATCCAAAGTTGCTGACCCATGAAGCGGTTCACAAAGGGAGAAATACCCCTCATCCTTTCTCCTGCTGCAGCCCGAAATGACAGCTGCAAGGAGCAAAAGCGTGACGGACAGTCTCCTCCCTGAGGTTTTTGACAGATGGCCTGGAAGTGACACCTCACGGCTGCCTAGATCACTGTGTGTTAAAGGGCTGTGATGGAAGCACATGAGCGACCTACACCTGCCAGAGGCAAACACCTGCAACCAAAACCCTGCGCTGGTTGGAGGGAGAAGCAGCAACCTGGCTTGGGAGGAAAGGGTGCAAAATGAACAGTCAGCAGGACAAGCACTGAGTGAACTCTCATCGCTCTCACGTGGCCCCAAATTGTCCTCTATGGAAACCGTCCTCACACATACATCTCTCTCTCTTTCTCCTTCTCTCTATCACAGGGCTGGAAAGTATTCCCTTGTGCCCCTCACATCCCATTAGAAAACATGCTGCAGGGTGGAGGAGGCAGGCTAATGTTTTGCAGCTTAGGAAACGGGGGGAGGCATGTGGAATGCATCAATATCACCTGTGAACAAATGGGAAAAGGATAAGAAAAGAGTTTGACAACTGCTGTCATAGTACTCCAAAATATAAGTCGATTATACGATCATCGCTCCGTGTCTACAAGAAAAGGGCCAGAGATGTCGAAAAGTATAAGGCAGGCATAGAGGGACACCTGCCTGCCTCCAGAGCAACATTCCTGGAGAAGGAATAAAAAGATTAAGAGGAGCTGAGACACCAGATAGCGCCTTCACAGATACCATGCACACATGACCTTCCCTTGAACGGGCTAGACTCACTGTCTATACTGGACTGGACTCTGAAGCAAAAACTAGCAAAACAGTTTAATTTATTACTTGAGTTACTTGAGTCTTGTATTTCAGAGTGGAAGGAGCCTCCAAGTTTAGGTCTCGTTCCAGTGTTCTCCAAGGAAAGTGAAAAAGGAGCATCACTATCACAAAAACGGGAGACTTCTGTCTCTGTCACTTTACACTCTTCAACGCATTTGTAAGTGAAAACATTAGTAAGAGAACCCATGACCAAAATACCTAAAATGAGAACAAGACTTTAAAAAGATGATGCAAGGGGAACTCCATGCTTGGGTATATACTGTCAAGCTTTCTGCTTTTGGTGGTAGCAATGCACACAGTCTTTTTGGACTTAGATGTACTCTGTTGATTTTGGGTATCCAGTATTTGCAGCTCAGCATGGCTTGTCTGATACTTTCTTATTGCTTTCAGACCTATCAACGCAAAGAGACATGCTGTTAAAATACCAGAGAGAGTAATAATTTGCTTTCAAGAGATTTCTTAGGCACTTAAAACACGATCAAACAGTTCCAGACAGTACAGTCATAAACTCTAGAAATACATTAGTAGAGGCAATACAGAAGTCACAGTTGTAAGAATCAATATATATTTGGATTTTTTAGTAGTAAAGCAACTGATACTTCACGCATATTGATAATAAATAGTGGGGCATTGACTGATAATTCCCAGGAGCATTGTGATAATATTTAATTCAAAGTCCTACAGAAAGGAAAGGGCTAAACTTAGGAAGAAAATCAGTACTGGGTATGTTCCAATGCACTGTCTTAACCACAAGATTACCCTACCTTATTAAAATAATAGTTACTACTTCATGTTCTACATTACACCTTTTTCTATAAGGGTACTAATAAAATGGTGATCTACGATCTAAAATAGGATTTGACAGAGCCCCTTAAAATTCATTAGCAGCATAA